GAGAGGGAGGCTTATGCAAGTCATCTCATGCTCTTGTGCCTTGGAGAAAATTACTACCGAGTTAAAGAGATGAAATGATTTTTTTCCAGGTACTCCAAACCCTGAACCCTTTAAGAAAGGAAAGAGCCGGGTAACACTTGTTATCTTGGCTGACAGGCCCCGAAACGTAAACGCCACCAGGCCCATCACCCTCTGGGGACCCAGGCACGAATGCAGGATACACCAAGGGAAGAAGGTCCCCAATACAGATCCCGCATGCCCTGAAGTGCCAGGCCGCTCGAGGTGCCCGCAGAGAGCAGGAGGACTGAGCCCGGGCAGGGCAGCGGCTGGCATACTCACTCGGAGCCAATGCTTCACTAACAAAGCCGGCATTATGCAGAGATGGTGCCCACGGCCGGTCCTGGGGCTCGAGTGAAGTGACCACTGCCAAAAACTCTCTTTGGGCCCCCCCACCCTCAGCTCGCTGAAATAAAGGGCAAGAAGGAGTTGCAATGTGGGGTCTTGCTGCCACTTGAAAACCATTACGGAGGCTGCACAGCCCCGGTTCTGGCAAAACGCAGTTCCAGAGGCTCATTGAGCGTTTAATTAGCGGCCAAGGGGGGAGCTGGCAACCTCTGGGCTGAGCGGCGGCGGCACGCGGGGACACGCAGGAGGGAGCCCGAGAAGGGCTTCACACAGGCTCCGAGGGCGGTGGGGGGAGGCGGGGGAGACGGGTCTGCGTGTGTGGGTTCTCTGCTGATCTGCCACAGAAGGGTGCCCAGGGTCGGAGCCAAAGGCAGCGTGTCAACCTGCCAGGGCCTCTGGGCAGCGCTGGGCCAGCTGATCACACCGGAGGGGAGCGCGCACCCCCGGCTCTGCGGCCTTCCCAGCCTGCCCGCAGGCCAGGAGCCTCCCGTGCCCCTGGCCCCAGAGTTCTGGCATGCCTGGACACACCCGCCTGGCGGGAACTCAGAGCACCGCGTCAAGGAGAGCCCTCTCAAATATCGCTTGGCTATTTCAGACCACCAAGGACACCGGACCCTGCCACGAGCCACAAATACCTCCAGGCCATCCACACCTGGATTCTGGGCGCTTCCCTGTGCCAGCAGTCAGCGCTGCTGGCAACAAAGGTACCCGGCTGCTCGGGACAGAGGAGACGGGCGAGGCTCACGGGGTGCAGTCTTGGGGGAGAACAGGGGGCCCGCAGCAGCAGGCCTGCAGAGCTGGGAAACTGAGGCTGGAGATCCGCCCGGATCGGGGGGACTGCACGTGCCCACAAACTCGCAACTCGAGGGCCTCCCAGGATGTGACCCTGGGGAGCCACTAGGAATGGGACTGGGACCTTCCTGAAATCAGGGAAAATGTCCTTTGAGGGGACACACACGGTTTCTGGAAAAAAAATGTGTCCTCTCCCCGCCCCCGCCCCGTTTCCACCACCCATGTGGGCAACAGGCCGGAGAGGAGGCCGTCCCGCCCCTGGCTGGGGGGACCTCTCAGACAGGAGGCAAACCCTGTTCTCAGAAAAGTCCACTCCTGACACCAACTCAAACTCTGCGGTTGACATTGGGGGCCCTCAGGCTCCTGCACGCTGGGCCCAGAGCACTGAAGTCACCAGGTGTGTGGAGGGGGGCAGGGGGGAGGGTTGGGGGAGCGGGGACGACAAGCGGACTGTGACTCAAATAAAAACTCACCAATTCAGAGAAAGATGAGAAGCCTCCCTCCCTGCTGAACCAGCATTCCCTCCAGATTCCACAGCCTGGCCTTGACCTGGGAGGGACTTCAGAGACTCCTAACCTCTGACCCGGTGGCCAATCAGGCAGGGAGAGCACTGGGCCACAAGCACCCCAGCATCCCTTAAGACCTGAGATCAGGATCTTCTGGGGGCGGGTCCTTTCACATCTAGGAGGAACAGGGATGCTTCTGCTCAGCCCCAAGTGGGGGAGGCAGGACGGGACACCCCAGTACTCCGAAACGCCACACCTCCAGAGAGCAGGCCACTTTCTCTTCGGAAAATGGCTGAGTGTGACTCAGTAAGCCACATAAAAATCACCTGGCTCGAAGGGCTGGAGCAATTGCACAGCGGGTAGGGCGTTTGCCTTGCACGCGGCCAAGCCGGGTTCGATTCCCAGCATCCCATATGGTCCTCCGAGCACCGCCAGGAGTATTTCCTGCGCAACGCTGGGTGTGACCCAAAAAGAAAAATATATATACATATATCACCTGGCTCGAGACTCCCCAGGAAAAATGAGGTCACCATGAGAACATCTTCCATAGGCCGTTCCAGGCCAGGTTACTCACTGACCCCGAATCACCTACTGTTTCCCTACCCCATTGTTCCCGCGCTCCTGCCCTCCCCTCGACGAGCCAGGGTGCCTACTGGGTGCGAGGCATCGTGGGAGCCCCTGCAGGACATTAGCTCACGGCGTCTGGCACGGAAACACTGAACGCGCTGTGGTCGGAAAGATAAACCTGCAGGAACTGTGCATCGGCGCAGGTGTGGCGCAGGGCCCGGAGCGACTGCATGCAGTGAGGACCTGGTCCGGAGCCCGCCTCAGTGGGCCTCCGTTCCCCCAGCCACGGAGGTGCGAGTCCCAGTGTCTCAGCCTGCACCTCTCAGCACAGGGGCTCAGCAGGGACCCACCGAGGCCCTGCACACAGGTGGGTTTTAAAGACAACCCAAAAAAGGTACAGAAAACCACAAAGAAAGTCCTCCAAGGGGCCCTTCTCAAGAGCACGGTGGGGCTTGTCTGGCACGCAGGTGACCCGGGTTCAATCTCGGGCATCCCATGTGGTCCCCTGAGCTCAGAGCCAGGAGTAAGCCCTGAACACCACCAGGAATGGCCCCCCCCCCAAAAAAAAAAACAAAAACAGAAGAGGGGGTGGGGGGAGCAGGGAAGTCCTCCGAGGAGAGGAGCAAGATGTGGAGAGGTTGGGGTGGTCCTCACAGGCTATCGTGATCAAGAGGGCCAAGCTCAGGGTCACCACAGAGAGAGACAGAACAAAAATCAGAGTCTCAGGTGAAGCCAAACACCAAGTCACAGACCCCTGAAGTTGTCGAGTATGTGACTCCCCACGTACTTCTCTGGTCACTCCTGCAAGCCAAGACTTCCCCTTATCCAGGAGCCTGTGCTGTTCCCAGCACCCGGTACCCGGCATCACCCTTCCTCCAGCTCCAGCCCCCACCCCCACCCCCACCCGCGCGGATCCCGTTCCTCCCCCCTCCTCTCTCTGCAGCACCCTCGAAAGGTCCCGGCTCAAACCTGCCTCTTCCCCCAGTAAATGACCAGCGGCAACCCCACAGCACGCCTCCTTCACGGCCACCGTCTTGGGGCAAGAGGGCAGACCAGACCACAAACTACCAAATGAGTCTCAGGATGAGAGTTCTGGGCAAACTGTGTGTGAGAAGGCAACGTCTCTGAATGGGGTTTGGCCAAAGTCAGGGTTCTCCATCAAGAAACTGACTTGAAACAGGCAAGGCCACACCCATCCCCCATCTCTAAAATAAAACCATTTGCATAGCAAAGACTGACCACACAGGAATTGGACATCCTCAGGTAAAAAAAAAAAAAAGTCACGCAAGAGTTTCATTTGATAGAAATGTCAAAGTCACCCACTATTTTGACACGGTGACTGTACCCCCGGCCTCCTCCCACGCCTCCCGCTCAGAAACCCTGTGATCGCCATCGTGGATTTTCCCAGAAGAACCACATCACAAGTGAACCTGTCACCTCCTCTCCTACTAGTAAAAGTTGACTCGTGCCCTCAGCACCACTCGTATCTCCAGGCGCACGTACCACCACTCGGCCGTGGCAGGGTCAAGGGCACCGACTTCTCAAAGCCATTTCATCACAAGGAACAAACCTCAAAACCAGCGGACCTCCATCCGAGTCTCTTAGGCCTCCTGTGACGGGAAATTTGCACCCAGCAGTCACTCACGGCAGGGGGACTGGACATCTTGTGGAAACTCTACCAGCCCGCGGGTACAGGTCACTGTGACTGGTTTCAAACGCAGCGGAGGCATCAACAGGCTGGTTGAGGGGGTGGTCCCTGAATATTTGCAGAGACTAACCCAGGATTCTCGAGTCGGGAGAGCATCCCCACTCCGTCCACGCGAAAGGCCAAGACAACCGAAGCGCCTCTCCTGCCGTATGCACCAGGACAAGAGCTGGGTGCACAAATGAGCACGCACGCACACACACACACACACACACACATATATACACACCTACAAGACCAACATGATGTACGGGCTCGAAGGACACTGGGAAGTTTTTCAGGATCTGACTCCCCAAGATCTGCCCTTGTTTCATCTAATCATCAAGCCTGACTCCACCTCTCGGGGAGGTGAGCGTTCGGCTGACTTCTCCCCAACTTCCCCCCAACTTCCCCCAGAAAGCACTTCACAGGACTTGAAACAATCAGGGGGCGGGGAGGGGAGCGAAGTTGGGAAGAAAGTGCTACGAGCAAACAAATTACCTTCAGGAGGCTACTGACAACACAGGCTTGTGGACCAGCCAAGATCTTCGAAGCACCCGCACCGCCAGTCCGTCCCCCGTCCCCAGGTCCACCCTCAACCACACCCCAAAACAGAATTTGGAAGACGGAAGACGGCATCTTGGAAAATGAGACCAACGGCCCATCTCTCAAAGGGAGGACTCAACACCCCGCCTTATCAGACACGCGTCTTGCAGTGACTTTTATTTCGTGCCTGGGCTCAGCGGTTGGACATTCTTGAGGGCCACACCGAAGAGAGACCTGCCCCCCTCCGGCTGTCTGTCCACCCCAATCACCCCCCTCACGTGGGGCAACGGGGTCTGCACGGGCCCTTTAATTCGGGCAGGTAGGCATCATCGACCCTCTTTTGCATACTGAGGCTCTCTCAGAGGGCCACCGGGAGTGAGGAGAGCAGAGAAGACAGGCCAGGAGACACTGCCAACTGGCTGTGTATCTGCTCTGGTACTAAAGAAGTTGGAGCAATCCAACCCTGTAATTATTGCCAGGATTAAAAATTCGTTACTCACGTAGTCATGAAAGGCCTTCGCTTCGCTTGAATGTTCACAAGTGTCTCGCCTCTCAGGAGCTGCACAGTAAAGGTCCCAAAACACGCTGGGAGTCAAGAAACAGAGTAAGGTCGGGTTACTAATCGGCAGTGGGGTACCCCTCGGCAAGTGCCCCAGGGCGCCTGAGGGTCCATCCCACCTCACCAGCCTTCCCTGGGCAGAGCCCTGCCTAGAAAACAAAATGGACCCACCACCCCCCGCTGTGGCCGGCCAGCCACGGAGCAGGAGAACACTCTCCCAGCAAGCAGACACCTGCCGTGGCCGACCCCCCGGCACACTGCCACACCGCCCGGGACATGGCTTGAGCCCACGCCCGGGGCAATAGGAGCTCAGACAGGCTGGTACGGTGAAGCCCGGGCAGAAAGGCGGTGTGGCAGTGTGACGGAGGTCTCATGTTCACTCCTCTGATGGTCTCCCTTTACCTCCCCCCAAAAAAAGAAATTAAAAAAAAAAGAACACTCAAAATGGCTGCATTTTGTGAAAAGGTTAAATTGTCAAAGTCAGACTGGGACTATGAGTCATAGGCCAAGCTCAGAACTGCATGACTGGTGACGGTGTGCTCGGTCCCGCTCCCCAGCATCCATCCGCAGCCCCTGGCACCCAGGAAACTCCCCCCTCAGCTGCGCTCATGCGAACACTCCTCCTGCCCCCACCCCCAAAGATATCGATGACCTGCGAGAGCTTCTGGGGGGCGCAAGGCTCTGTCCCCTCAAGCTGAGAGCCGGCACCGGTCATCTGCCAGCCCAGCAATGGAGGGACTGGGGAGCCCCATCACACCCCGCTTTGGGAGTCAGAACGATGAGTCCAAAAGGCAGACTGACCCTCTGCCAACCCGAACAGCCCTACACAAAAAGGACGCCTCACTGGCACTCACGAGGGACCTCCCACACCTCTGGAGGGCCAAGGATATGGCTCAGTGGTTAAGGAACAAGCCTCGCATAGCATGTAGGAGACCCGAGTTAGCTACCTAGTACTAAAAAAGAAACGAAAAAAATGATGACGATGAAACACACCCTAGGTCAGGAGCCCAAGGCCCGGGAGAAACAGGCTCGGAGTAACGGGGAGAAAGGTCACCAAAGCACTGGTGACTCCCTATCCAGTGCTCGGGCCCCTCCAAAGAGTCAAGGCAGAAGATGCCATTTCCATCATCAGCTTGCCAGACAAGCCTCTTCCCTAAGGGTGGGAGCCATGACTGCTTCCCACTCAAATGTCATGGTACTGGTACTGGCCGGGAGACAAATCACACAGGCACCTTCCAGGGTCAGACCACAGACCCCCCCAGAGCCGCCACGGCCGGAGCCCAGCCCAACAGAGCCCCCCTATGTCCACGGGGCAGAGTCAGAGTTGGGAGAAGCTGGGGCAACTGGAACTATAGTTCTAAAAGAAAAACTGGGATTCCCGGGGGCTGGGGGAAGGGACACTCCTTTCTGTTGCTCGAAGCCACTCATGGTTGCTTCATGCCTCCATACACACCGACATCTCCACGGGGCAAACTCCCTGCAGGTCAGCCGGGCCAAGCCCTCCACACACCTCAAACCACACAGAAACCCCATCACCCGCTCCTACAGGTAGATCCTTGCGCCACACCAAATGCCTCCGACACGGGCAGATCCCAGGCTAGCAGAAGTAATTAAAAACTCATTTTCCCGGCACAAGTTAGAACACACACTTTCAGCCCCCTGCATTTCAAAGTACGAGGGAGAAGCTGGAGCCTGGGCAGGCGGGCGGGCGGGCGGGCGGGCAAACGCTGTGCTCCCCAGGCAGACTGGGCGCTTGGTCTTCCTAGCCTCCAGCAAGCCAGGATCAAAAGCCCCTCGGCAACTTCCTTTTCTTCTCAAAACAGATCGTCCCACAAAACACAAGGGTCTGTCACTCCCGCTGACCTGCAGCCTGCCTCCTGCCTGCGGCCTGTCCACGCCTGTCCACACGCAAACCAGGAGCCAAAGAGGGGTGGCGGTCCCCCACCAGCAGGGCCAGGGGCCGGGAAGAGGGTGACAAATCCAGGCGCACCCCTCACTCCCCGGGGCAGCCCCTCCGCCCAGGTCCTCCCTCGCCAGTCCAGGTTCTCGCTGGGTAAAATGAGACTCTGTGGTTTTTGGGATGCTGGGGTGGGGGCAGGGCTCCCGGAGGAAGGGACGGTCCGGGCCCTCCGAATGGCTTTTAAAGGAAGTGGCAGCCCCTGAGAGCATTCTATCGGTGGCTGGAAAAGGCCCCAGTAGGTTTTCTTTATTGAGGTTTTGACCTCACAGAAGAAAAAGGAAGGGGACAGGCCAGTCGTAAAACAGACCTGGACTCCCCTCCGCCCGCCCGGCCCTGCCCTGCCCCCACCCCGTCTAATTAAAGCAGCATGCAGAGCTGACAAAAATCCTTCCAGGTTTTCCCGGGGCCTGCGAGGGCCCCAGAGTGAGATGGGAAAGTCAGGAGCTTCCAGCCAACCACCAGGCAGGACCCGGCGGCAGGGGAGAGAGCACCCAAAACTTCGAGCCCCGGCCTCTCGCCCCTCTCCTCCCCACCTCTGTCAGGGTCTCAGGGCTGGTGGGGTCCAGAGGGAGCCCGGCTGAAGGCTGCAGCGGGCAGCCGGGGCCCCGGCTCCAAGCCTCCCGCCTTTGTTCGCTCGGACCCGGGGCTCTCCGGAACAAAAACAGACGCGCGCGCTGGCCCAAAACTCTCGCGCAAACTTACCACCACCACGAGTGCAAAAACCCCGGCGGTTCTCCCAACGTGATGTTCTTTTCCCATCGAATCTGCAAGGCAGAGAGCACAGACAGCTGAGCGGGGCGCAGGGGAGGGAGGGGGCGAGCTCCTGGAGCCAAAAGGCGGTGAGGACCCACTAACAATAAATGCCAAAAGGTGATAAAAATTCAAAATGGTGGCCACAGTGGCTGCTCCTGAAAACAAAGGCTCTAAGGAGCGTGGGGCGGGGGGCTGTCAAGAAACTGGCCGGCGGGGGGGCACGTCCACTCACCTCCGACAAGAAGGTCTGTGCAGATTTCTGTGCTCCTACGTGCAGCAAATACTCGTAGACGTATAAAGCTAGCCTGGAAAGTGGGCAGGGGGCAGAGAGGGAGAGGGGCAGCGTCAGACCCCCGAGGCGCGGGCTCCGGGCCCTTCCTGCGCTGTCCCGCGGGGGCCGGCCCGGGGACGGCGAGCAGCTGGCCCGGCCGGCCCGGCGCTTGAGCGGGAGAGTTAAACTTGGTGGGTGGGGACCGAGGGGACGCGTTTCCCTCCAGCCGTGGGGCTGGGAGCGCAGCCCCCCAAACTTGAACTTCCAAGTGGCGTTGGCGCCCGGCCCGCCTCGGTCTCGCCGAGAGAGAGGTCGCCGGCCGCCCGACCCCGGAGCTCCGCTCCCGGCCCCCCAGCCCGCTTCTGGGGGCCACCCTCTGCCCAGCTGGGAAGGGCCGGGGAGCCCCTGCCCTGCCCCCCCCCCGGACTCGGGCTGCCCGGCGCGCCGCGGAGCGACCCCCGCCCCCCCGGCACGGCCGTGCCCCCAGCCCCGGGGCCGGCACCCGCGCGCCGCGTCGCTGCCCGGCGCCCCGGAGCGCGCGCGCGGGGCCGGCACCGGCGGGGCGCCCGGGCCCGAACAAAGCCCCCGGCCCGCACCCCTCACGCCGCGGGCGGACAAAAGGGGCCCGCGCCCCCCCGCCCCGCGCCCCGGGGGCTCGCGGGCCCGCGCCCACCCCGGCCCCGCGCCCAACAATGGGCTGCCCCCGCGCCGCCCGCCGCGGCCTCGGGGCCGGGGCCAGGCGCGCCCGCCCGCCCGCCCGCCCACCTGCCTCCCGCCGCAGCCCCCCGGGGAACGCGGGCTTACTTTTCCCGAGCCTGCCCGTCCGAGGGCACCGCCGAGCCTTTGCCTTTGGCAAACATGGTTCGCAGAGAGGAGGGCGCCGAGCCCCGCCGCCGCCGCCGCCGCCGCGCTGCCCGCTCGCCCCCGGCCCCCTCCCCGGCGCTCGCCGCCCGCTCGCCCGCGCTGCCCGCGCCGCGCTGCCCGCCCGCGCCCCCGGCGCCGGCTCCGCGCTCCTGCCAGCTGTCAAAGCGTCAGCCCCGGCCGCGGCCCCATCGCCCGGCGGCGGCAACTCCTCCTCCGCCTCCTCCGGCTCCGGCCCCTGCCCCGCTCCGCGCCGCGCCGCCGCCCGCGCCGGCCCGGCCGGGGTGCCAACGCCGCCGCCGCCGCCGCCGCCGCCCGCCGCGCGCCCGCCGCCCGGCTCCGCCCGCGCCGCCCTCCGCGCCTCCGGCCCCGCCGCCGCCGCCGCCGCTCTGCTCCCAGCGCAACCGAACGTGGCTACCCGCGGGCGGGCGCGGGGCGGGCGCGACTGACGGCGGCCGCGGCCAATGGGCGCCGGGGGGCGGGCCCGGCCGGCGAGCGACGCCCTGCCCGCTGCGGCCGCCCGCTCGGACCCGCGCGCCCCGCGCCGCGGGACCTCGGGGGGCGCGAGCGGCCCCTCGCGCCGCGCGCCGCCCGCCCCGCGCCCCGCGCCCCGCCCGCGCGCCCGGGGGCGCCGCCGCCGCGCCCCCCGCCGGACCCCGGCCTGCCCTGCCCTGCCCTGCCCTGCCCTGCCCGCTCCGCGCGCGGGCACCCGGCTGCACCCCGCGCGGCGCGCGGCGGCTCCTTCCCGGGCTCGTGGAGATACTTTGGAAAACCCCCGAGTGGAGCCGCGCGCCGACGGCCCCGGGGGCGCTGCGGGGAGGGCGCGGGGGCGCCGGGCACGCGGGTCTCCCGGACCCCCCGGGGCGGGGGGAGCGCTCCCCGCTTCGGCCGCGCGGCCGGCCCCCCCGCGGCGCGTCTCTGCGGGAGAGGGGGCGCGCCGGAGTCGGGGGGCGGGAGGGGGGCGTCACCTGGGCGCCCGGCGATGCGGAATGCGCGCCACGGCAATCTGCAAACTTCAAATAAATGGAGCTAAATTGGGGGGTGGGGGGGGCGGGCGGGGGGCTGGAGTCGGCCGTGGGGGGAGGGGAGGCCTCCATTGTCAGTGACCCAGGTGTACAATGGGAAATTGAGGGGGGTGCTGGCCGAGTGACCCAGCTATTTACTACCGACTCTCCGAGGCCCACCACGCTCGGGAACCTGGCCGGCGGACACAGCGTGTCCACCCTTAGCCACTCTTAAATGCAGAAGCCAGCCAGCTAGGGGAAGGGACCCCCCCCCCCCATTTTCGGAGTGTTTTTTTTTTTGGAGCGCGGTTCTCTTTAAATGTGATAAAACATTGTCGGCGCTGTCTCTTTAAAAGAGTCGAGCAGAAAAAGCTGTGTAAGCGCTGATTGGCTGCTGGTTTGGATACATCTTTAGGGGAGCCTTGAAACTGTTAGCCTAGGTTGATTTTTTTTTTTTTTAACTGCGCTGTTCCAATAAACAAGTAACGCCCCTCCCCCTAACATGCCTCGCACCAAACAATTAAAGGATAGGTCAGTGTCCTGGGGAAAACACGCTTCAAGTAGGAAAACTCAGAGCTAGGTTTCAACAAAATAAAGAATCATTCCTTCCCATTAAAGTTTGCTTATTTTGGTCTATGCAAGAGGAGAAGAAAAAAGGCTTTGAAAAGAAATGCCCCGCTGCAAACAGATCTGCATTGGTTCAGCAAGGAGACTCCGGGTACATTTTTGGAATAATGTTCTCAGGCTAAGAGCCTCCCTAAATTAGAATACAACCAGGCCCTACTACAGCTGCCTCTGGGCACTCTCCGCTCCCGGCTGGATTGCTTGCGGGGCTGGGGGGTGGGGTAGGGTGGGGAGGATGGGGGAGAAGGCAAAAAAAACGGGAAAATCCGAAGGCTGTTCTGAGCTTGGTCTGTGTGCTAGTCCCAAGTTTAAAGGTGGTTTTGTGAATGAGAGAGGCATGGAGGTTGGGAGGGAGTTGAAATACAACATAGGAGAGAGAAGGAAATAATTACAGCTATTTTTTCCCTTAGGCGGTTTAATTTAATAGGGCTAACTTTAAGGTACCTTAGAGCCCACACTAATTAAATTGGCCTGCTCCTAGCCTTCCCCTGGACTTCTATTTTTGATGGGCCAGGACTGGTCAGAGAGGGCTTGTCAACAGACTGACTCACAAGGAGTCTGACTCATCCTGGGTCTGCAGGTCCCTGCTCAAAGAAGCGCTGTCCGCCCCTAGCCCCCCCTCCCCCCCCACACACAGACACACACACCACCACCACCCCCAGTCTGGGTCCCTCTCAAATAAGTGGTGGTCTCTGGGCCCATCTGGCAAATGGAAAAGGTGTGGTCCAAGAACTTGGCAATCTCTTGAAGAGTCCGATGTTCCGGCCTGCTGAGATGTCTTCTGCCCTTTCTTTTCCTCTGCTCATTCCCTCACTCAGAGAGACTAGCAGGTCCTTCTCAGCAAGGGTGATGAGAAAGGTACAGGGGTGAGGGGCTGAGCACAGGCTTCCCATGTCGCGTGCCTGAAGCTCCTGGGTCTCTCCGGGGCACCCCGTGGTCCCCTGAGCACCAACAGGGAGTTTCCCCCAAACCCTGGTGGAGGTGGGGGAGGAAGACAGGGGTGGTATTTGGGGGAGCCATGTGCCAGACAGTCTGCTCTCAAAGTGGAGCTAAAGGAGCCGGGTCCAGGAAGAGAGCAGGAAGCTGTTGGACCCCCAGCCCAGCCCCCTGGAGAGAAGTGAGCTGGTGGGTTTCCAGGAAGTGGGGCACTCAGCGGCCGCAGATTAATGACCCCCAAATGTGGTTCAAACCCGAGAGAACAGCACTCCGGCCCAAGCCATCTGCCCTGAGGTGCGTCTCTGGAATGCCGCCTGCCCCAGACACCTTCTTTGTCCCTGCTGAGGTGAAGCACCGCCCTGGGGACCACTCGGGGCCACACCTGACTTTCAGTGCAGACCTAACGGAGAGTTGAATCCCGACCAAGCCATGCGCTCCTGCCTGTTGAACCTCTCTTCTTCCTGTCCTTGGAAATCATCTCTATTTTGGCCTGCCGTGTTAAGGTCCTATTCTTGCCTCTGTCTCTGTGTGTGCGTGTTGGGGGAGGGGAGGGGGCAGGGGAGTGTCATTTATGACGGTGCTGGGGATGGAACCCGAGCCTCACACATGTGAAGCATGTGCCCCGGGCCCGGTGTATCTCTCTGGACTGCTGGCTCTTCTGGAAGGGGAACATTCTCTCCAGTGACATCTCCTCCTTGAAGGCCACTCTTCTCTGGAAAACACCTCCAGCTGTCCCCCCTGGGGGGAGCGGAGCCCCCTCCCTCTGGCCCTCTTCAGAGCCCACTGGGCCTGGCTGAAGGAGCTCTCTGCCCTGGCTGCAGCCTTTGTTTGGTGTCTGCCTCCCCGCCAGACTTGGTGGGGGTGGGGGGTGCGGAAATAGCTCTGAGTCATCCCGTCTCGGGCCTCACAGGTTCCCTACCTGTGTGCATGTGAGCGCTTGCTGCGAGCCCCGAGTCCCCAGGGTTGTCCTGGGCCTGCCCAGCAGGGAGATAAGAAGTGGACACCAGGACCTGGCGATTAGATAAGGCTGCCCCCGCCCACCCGAGCTCCAGCCCGGGAGCTACTTTCCCTTCGAGGTGCAGCCGGCCCCCAGCACCCTCCAGCCTGCTCCTCTCTCTCCCCCCTCCCATTTCCTCCTTCCTGTGTTTCCTTTGTTCCAGCCCTTTCCCTTCTCTCTTCTTTTTGGTCCTATATGTGGAGCATCTACTCAGTTCCCAGCTCTGTGCAGGCCCCAGGCAGTAAGCTAGACCAACACCCATCACTGGAGGCTTACCCCTGCTGGGATCCTCTGCCCCAAAGTTTCTCCTGTGACTTGCTCCTGCCTCTCCCACAGCTGGGCACCTCACGAGTGCCCTCTGCACCCCCCTCCTCCAGAAAGCCCTCTAGGCTTCCAGTCTTTTGTTTTGGGGGGATCACACCCAGGAATGCTCAGGGCCTACTTACTTCTGGCTCTGTGCTCAGGAATTCCCCCTGGCAGGGCTTGGGGGACCGACTGGGGTGCTGGGGAGTGAATGCAGGGTGGCCACGTGCAAGGCAAACGCCCTATAGCTCCAGCCCCTGGGATCCCAGTCTTGGCCAGATGTCTCCGTCGCTCCTGGGCCTTCCCAGCCACGAGGACCTGGGATGTCTGTGCGCTTCTCCCGGTGGACAGGATTGGGGGCCAGCAGGCATGAGGAAGAGGTGGGGGTGAGAGGAGAGGGGGAAGGGAAGGGATTCCAGCCCCATCCTCCCTCCCTCAGCTTCCTGAGACTTGGGGCCAAAAGTCCTCTGGAACCAGGCTGTGGGGTGCCCCTTATGGGGGAAGAGGCCTCAGGTGTCCGGCTCAGTCCCTGAGACTGTTCCTGCCAAGGGTGCCCGAGGGCTTCTCACCTTGCCCTGGGTCAGGCCGGGCACTGTGTCCCTGATCGGTTTCCACCCAAGGCATGAGAGAGCTTCCTTTCAGCGGGATGCCAAGACGGTGCTGCGTGCACACCCCACGCCCCCTCTGACTACGGGGCTCTGAGCACTGGGTCCTGGAAGCTCAGGGAAGCGTCTCTGGGCAAAATCTCAGGCAGGGCCCAGGGATAGTTAAAAGGGGCAGGACGCACCCTTGCACACGACCCCGGTTGGACCCGCACTCACTGGCCCCCTGACACCAACTGGCGTGGCCCTCGCGGCCTCTGACAGCCCCACATCACCTGACCCTCAGGCTGGCACTGCCTCTGCACCCAGGAGCCCTCTCTGGGCGTTGCCAAGAGGGACCCTCCAGAGAGGCAGGGAGGGTGGAAACCCAGCACCCAGAAACCTGGCTTCAAAGTTTCAGAGTCTGGATGATGGGGGTACTGCGAGCAGATACACCTTTGAGGTGAAGGCGTTCCTTCCCGTGTCAGGGGGAGGCGAGCATGTATGCATGCGGGTCCCCCCAGCCAGGATCAGCACCCGCTATGAACCAGGGGGTGATGGTCCCTCACCTGCCCCATAGGCGCCTCCGGCTACTTACCTGTGGGCAAGCTGGCACAGCCCGTGGTTCTGCAAGCCACTGAACCATGGTTTGGAGGCTCTCGTCAGAGATGGTATCTGGGGGTCGCTTTGTGGATTGAAAAAGATGATGGCGGGGCCGTAGCTATAGTACAGCAGGTGGGAGGCTTGCCTTGCAC